CTCCTGGGGTCACCCCACCTGACAGCCCCAATAGCTACACTAGTCAAACTGTGTGGCTGTCCACACTATTTCTAAACCGTTCTCACCTCCACACCACCCCCCTCAACAAAAAAAACAACTCACAAACAAGCCCCAGAATCCCAGCCCCCGCTTAGGAATAACTCCCATTCCCTCAATTTACCTGCCTCCCACCCCCACTCAGTAACTACCACTAAACCTTTTTTTTCCTTAGGAATTAAACTTTTGCCTGCATGCTTCATCTAGGTATTTTATATGACACTGCGGCCCGTGCTTGCCCTTTGGTATCTGGCTGCTTTCTTGGAGCCCAGTGTCATGTGTTCAGGGCCCCGCCATGTCATACATAGGATGCCACCTTAGAACTGCCTTTGTTTTAGAACAGCCCGCTGCCCGAGTGCCCCTGGTTCTGTCATTTACAGCCCTTGGTCCTTAAGCACAACACTGCTGCAGGTGCAGGTGTTCGGGCATCTGTGTCCCTGCTTCCACACCTAGGCCGGGCGCAGTGGTGACTCTGTGTAGAACAGAATAACGCTAGGAAACAGACAGGACGTGAATCAAAGCGGGTGTGAACTGTGGAACGGAAAGCCCATGTGTTGGGTCCACTTGAGCCCATCGCACCATGAGAAAGTGAAAAACAGAACTTCAGTGTGGGCGCACAACTTTGGGGTTTGCAGAGGCAAAGAGTGCTATTGGAGGGCAGTTGGCAAAATCATCATTAAAAAAATCTGTTGATGACCTTGTACCCCAAATATTTTATGAGCCCCGTAGCTAAAGAAACATCTGGCAGCAGCTTAAAAATCAACCCTGGTTTTGAAGGCCTGCCGGTGGAATAAGCATCAGGGACGTTTCCCAGCGTCCCCTCTAACTTTGAGGAGGACGTCCATGGAACTCAAGAGACAGAGGGGCTGTCACAGCCCCACAAAAAGCACTACCAGGCCCAGGGAACCCCCTACCCAGCCACCTAAGAGCAGCCTCTGTGAATGCTGCCCTTTGAGGCAGAGGTGGTTTTGGGGGGAGGCCTCTGCTTTTCAAACTCTAGCTCATCGTGAGCAGGCCCAGAGCTCACGAGCTTTCTGTAAAACACCTTTAGTTTGTCCATCAGCAGGGAGAGCGTGCAGGCCGGTGGGCCCAGCCGGTGAGCCCGCTGCTGCTGGTGGCTCGGCATCATAATCCACCCCCCACAAAGCCTCTCCCCGCGTGCGGTGCTGACGTGCTTTTCTCTGAGACTAGGACTTGAGGGAGCGTTCCCACTGCGCGGGAGTTTCTACGGGGCAACGCACCCATTGTCCGGGGACCTGGCTGCCATCCCATCATGGCATGCCTCCATGGGCCCCCAGTTTCCTCCATGGCTCCCCAGTTCCCTTTGTCCCATTTCTTGGCCTCTCCAGCCTTCTTGTCTTTGCTCTAGGGACTAACGGTGCCCTTTTCAGGTCTCAGAGAGTTGGGTTTTATTATTTACAAGGCTGGTGTGCTACTTCGTGTGTACTTAGCTGACGCCTCCCCTGGACGGCTATTGGCTTTAAGACAAGGCTGTAAGACCCCAGACGCTGCTCTTCTTGCTGGTAGCCGGGCACCACCATCTGGTTTCTGCACCACACTCGGCTGGAGCAGCCATCACTCAGGCGGGCGAGGAGTGAGCAGGGCCACATCTTAAGAGTGAATTGTTCTTGGATGAGTGTTTCTGATCGAGGGCTGAACACCTACGGGCATATCTCAGTTTACACAGATCCCTGGCTCGCTTCGGAGGCAGCACTATCTGCATGTTGAGACGTAATTTCAGGAATCTCCCTGAGACATTTGGTAATTCTACCATAGGAGCACTAATCTCACCAGTGGGATAGAATTGAAAGTGCTATTGAGAGAAGGAAACTAGACATCTATCAGAAAGCTTTTTTAGATGAAAACACAGGGTATGTTCGCTTAGATGGGTTGAGAACCTGAGTCCCTGGGCAGGCACCCCTAAGGAAAGCACTGAGGGTGGACACAAGGGCAGGCATCTCTTCCACACTCCCTCCCTGAGGATTCACACCGACTCCCGCCGTCCCGTCACTTCTGATGACCCTCTGGGACAGGGCAGAACTGCCCGTGGGTGTCTGAGACTGCCACTCGCTCTGGCAGCAGAAAGCCTCGTCTTCCTCCCTCAGAGCGGCTGGGTTTGAACTGCCTACCTTTCAGTGAGCAAGGATGTAGTCTTAAGTTGTCAATTGTCAGGCGGTTTTTCTTGTAAAAGCGTCAAGTTCTGCTCCTGGGGGATTGGAGCCCTTGGGCCATGCTGACTCGTTCTGCGGTGGTCCCCGCAGCGCTGGCTGTCGGTGGGCCGTCAGAAGCGTGTGTACGGACACTGCTGAGTTTCCCCAGCAGCTCGCTGGGCGTCCAGGTTGTTTCCAGTCTCGGGCCCCTGCAAGGCTGTCCCACTGCCCCTGAGTGGAGAGTGGCTTCTATTTGTCCCTGCTCATGCCATTTTGATTGTACATAGAGGAGTCTTGGGTTTGGGAGCACTCGTGCAGAGCACAGATAGGCTCTCATGACTGCTCTTCACCCCTGCCCATGTCAGGAACCCATCTGGTGCTCCCGTGGGCTTCTTTGTCACGAAAGCCGAGCTGTGCTCCATGGTATTTCCAGTGGCTGATGGATCGCCAGCCTTTTCCTCTGAGGGACCTCTGGGTGGGTTCCACCTGCCGACCTTAACCGAGCACACGAGCCATTTGCACCCAGGGGTGAGGGAGTCGTGTTTTCCTGGTGTTCCTGTGGGACCTTGGCCATGGGATGGACCGGTATTGGAGAGTCACTGTTCACATGGTTACTATAGTGACAACAGGAATTAGCCATTTTCACCCTGTTTGGTCCGTCCCACTCTCGCCCTCACCAGACCCAGTGCCAGCCCACACCCAACCCTGCACCTCATCCCAGACCAGCTATGAACAAGGGACTCATTCTACTCTGTCCTGTAGGTTTGCCGGGAGCCAGGGTTGGCTCAGGCACACACAACTGTCGGACACACAACAAACTCACTGCCCTTGAGTCGATGGTGACTCATGGCGATCCCGTAGACCGGGCGGAAAAGAACGGCCCCTGTGGGTTTCCAAGACCGTAACTGTACGGGTGTAGAAAGCCTCATCTTTCTCCCCGGGAGCTGTGGCGGTTTTGAACTACTGACCTTGATGCGGAGTAGTCAGAAACTATTACTAGAGACCCATCTATAAGGAGGAGAGAGGGTGGCTCGGCCTGCTTTGGCAGTTAAATCCAGGGTGTTGGAAGGTGTGTGTGTGGGGGGGCTGCGTGGGACTGGGGCGATCCCCTCTAGCAGGAAGCCTGGCCTGGCCTCCTGACGCTGTGCTTGCCCTTCCTATAGAAGAAGAAGGGCAAGGAGGCGGGAACCACTGCCACTCCGGCTCTGCCGCCACCCCGCGTGCCCGCCCTGCCCTCCGAGGCCCGGGCCACTCACACCAGCTCCCTGGCCGGCACCAAGAGGAGCAAGGCCAAGGCCAAGGCGAAGGAGGTGAAAAAAGAGGTGAGGCATCTCTCCCACCTGCTGCAGGAGGCGCTGCCTATGAACCCTGGTCGGAGGGCATGGCCTCGGGGGTGGGGCGCCTTCCCCAGGACCATGACCCACATGACCACCACAGTCCACAGAGCACCTGCTGCTTGCCCTCGACAGCCTGGCTGGATGCTGGCTTTTCAGGGCCTCCCCGGCCGGACAGGTAGCATGCCGTCTTCTGAGTGGGGGGTCCCCTGTGCTGTGTTCCAGAACCGTGGGAAGGGGGGCGCCGTGAGCAAGCTGATGGAGAGCATGGCTGCCGAGGAGGACTTTGAACCCAACCAGGACTCGAGCTTCTCGGAGGACGAGCACCTCCCACGCGGTGGGGCCCTGGAGCGGCCGCCTACGCCAGGTGGGGGACCAGCGAGGTCTGGGCCAGGGCCGAGCTGGGAGAGAGCTGGGTGTGCAGGCTAGGAGGTAGTCCTGAGAGCAGTGTAAGCCAGGCCAGTGGGCTCAGAGAACGACCTGGGGCCTGCGGCAGAGGCAGAGGCAGAGCCAGGACCAGCCTCCCTCTCAGGCCTTGGCCTGGAGCTGCATGTTCACCGGGAGAACAAGCAGCCAACTGCCAAACCTGGTACTCGGGAGCAGCGTGTCCGTTGGGTTTGGAAAGTGGTGCCTCTGGTGCCGCCCCGAGGGGGCGTGGGAGTCCAGTATGAAGGCCGTGACGAGCCTGCAGGCAGGGTGACCTGGGCCGCTGTGGGTGCAGCCAGCATGGAGGTTGGGGTGTCTAAGAAGCCTGGGGCTGCTGTCCTGCACGTGCCACAAGTGGGGGGCTTCACACAGCAGGCTTTTTTTTCAGTCCTGGGGGCTGACGGTCTTGGCAGCGAGGGTCCCTTCCCTGTTGGTAGCCCTGGTATCCCTTGGCTCCAGGGAACCCTCGCCGTGTGGTGTTTCTCTTCCCTCTGCTCTCTCTCGTACCCTCCGCCTCTGTGTACCTCCTCAAGAGATCAGGTCTCGGACCCTCCCTACACCCGTGTGAGACCTCCCAGTTGGTGGGATAGAGCATGATCACCTTAGCGCTGTGGTTGTCACCTTGCGTTACACTAGCTTGCCTTATGGGCGGTTGGCACAGGGCGGGTTGAAGGCCACACGGGGGCATGAGCAGGCCTGTGAGAGGACTGGCGGCCTGCGCCCCACTGCCCCTCCTGCAGCCCCCCGCTCCTGCGTCATCGACAAGGACGAGCTCAAGGACGGGCTGCGCGTGCTCATCCCCATGGACGACAAGCTGCTGTATGCTGGCCACGTGCAGACCGTGCACTCCCCCGACATGTGAGTGGGCGCCCCCCTCAGGGAAAGGACGGGCTTCGGGCTGGTTGGGCTCGCTCTACTCAACTGAACCTTCCACTGGTTGCCATCCAGTTCAACGCAGGGCTCCCCAGGTGTCAGGGCAGATCTGCATTCCACATGCTTGTCAGTGCCCCCGTGTTTGTTTGTTTGGAGGGGCTGGGGGCGTGGCAGGCCTGTCTTCCAAGGCACCTCGGTGGTTGTGAACCTCCAACCGGTTGGTGAGTCCCTGGTGCGCATTAGCCATTGGCATTGCCCAGTGGCGCCACATCCGGCTGCTGTGGAGCCCGCGGCCTGTGGCGGTAGCACTGCGCCCCATGGGGTTTGAAAGGGCAGTAGTTCTCCAGGCCTTTCTTCCGTCTTTCAGTTAGCAGCCAAGCTCGTGAGCTGGCTGCAGCACCCAGGGCCGTTGCCCACCAGGAAACTGAGCTCCAGCAAGAAGGGAGGCTTGCCCCACTTTCTGCAGCCAGCCAGTCAGATTCCCATTTCTGGGCCCAGCTCCAGATGGGGAGGGTGGGGAGAACTGGTAGTGGTGGTGGGCCCGGAGGCTGGGTGTTTCGGGCCTCTGCCACTGCCCTCGCCCTCACCTGGGACCTGGCCTTGCAGATACCGTGTGGTGGTGGAGGGCGAGCGCGGGAACCGGCCCCACATCTACTGCCTGGAGCAGCTGCTGCAGGAGGCGGTGAGGGGGTCCGGCCTGGCAGGGGCACCGGGAGGGGGCTGAGACGGAGACGGCCTCCCACTCACCCCATCCGTCTGTCTGTGGTCCTCAGATCATTGACGTGAGACCGGCCTCCACCCGCTTCCTGCCCCAGGGCACCCGCATCGCCGCGTACTGGAGCCAGCAGTACCGCTGTCTCTACCCAGGCACCGTGGTGCGAGGTGAGCCAGCTGTCCCCTCACCTGTCATCTCACACGGCACGGTGGCTTCGCTTGGTCCCCAGGACACGTGCCTGGCCATCCTAGTTTCCCCCTGCGGCTGCAGCACCACACGGGGGTGCACTGTACTGCAACCAACGGGTGGGCATGACGCGCCCAGCCGGGATTCCAGCCACTGTCAACTGCTGCTGTGGCTTGGCATCCGCCCGATGCGTCACAGGGAAGCCTGTCCTCTGTCCCTTCTGGGGAAGGGGCCTGGCCTCTTTCAGCTTCTGGCTCCTTGGTGAGCTCCACGCAGCATCCATCTACGCCCCCTGTGTGCCCACGTCTGTGTCTGATCTGCTTTTTCGATAACTCAAAGGTGTCAGTGTATGCCACACTTCCGCTGCACCTCACCAACATGCAATCAACTCCCCTTCTACACTGGGAGCCCCACCCAGGCATACACCCGTTCCCACACATAGCCACCCTGTCGGTCAGAGTTTCCTGTGGTGTAATCCTGACAGAAGCAGATGGCCATGGCTCGCTGCCGTGCCTTTTGTCCCCCGGAAGGGCTGGTGGGCTTGACATGCCGACCCTTGAGTTGGCAGCTGGAGCTTTATCCACTGCCCTGTCAGGTCTTCTTTCACAGGTTGCAGGGGCCGGGGTTCCAACGTACACACGCACACACACTCTCACACACACACAAAATTATTCATACATATATAAATACACACAGACAAATTACTCTTCTATACATGTTTTGCGGGGGTGTCATTTAATCCCTAACATGACTTAAAGCATAAAGAAGCTTACCTGCTTGCTCACACAGTACCATCAAGTAGGTTTGTGGCGATCCTCTAGGACACGGCAGAGCTGCCCACGCGTGTCTGAGACTGTCCCGCTGTACGGAGCAGACCCCGCCGCCTCGTTCTCCCCAGGAGTGGCTGGTGGTTTTCAACTGCTGACCTTGCAGCTCGTGGCCAGACCGCCCGTGCTCTGTGAAGAGTAAGCGTGCAGCCTGGAGGGGTAGAGAGCACGCGTCTCTTCTTTTTCCTTTTTTAAAAGATATTTTTCATTCTGTTTTGGTGCGAGTTTACATTGCAAATTAGGACCGCATAGGGCAATTGTTCAACGATGTTGGCTACATTTCCTGCAGGATATCAACCATTTTTTCAGTGGCTTTGATAACGGCGTTCACGCATCACACAGCTCCATGGCTAAGTCGCTTTTCTTTTAAAGATCATTTTAAATCGTTTTTTAGATGAGTTGTAGATGCATCATCCCAGTTGGTTCTTGTGCTTGTGCCCTCCGGGGACTCCTTGTTTGCTCCCCAAATCCCCTTGCCCTCCATGCCCCCCGCCCCCCCGCCCCATGCCCCACAAGCCCTGTATGCGTGATGCTCTCTGTGCATCTTCTGTTCAGAGTGCTTTTCTCGGCAATAGTTTGTTAACCTGTTTTGGTGGCGTGTGATTCCACCCGTCCCATTCACGGTTTAAATGGACGAAGTCACGTGGTTCTCAACCTCCCTCACGCCGCGACCCTTTCACGCAGCTCCTCGTGTGGTGACCCCCAACCATCACGTTATTTTCGTTGCTACTTCATCACTGTCATTTTGCTCCTGGTATGAATCGGGCGACCCCTGTGAAAGGGTCGTTCGACCCCCAAAGGGGTTGCGACCCACAGGTTGAGAACCACTGTACCAAGAGTTGTGTGTTTGTCACGCTGTCTGTCTGAGCTTGGCTGCAGTCTCTGTGGCTGGGCCTTTCTCTTGCGTCGCCTCCAGGTAGGTTTGAACTGACAGCCCTGGGTCAGCGGTCAAGTGCAAACCATTGGCACCATCCAGAGACCTTTGAGGCTGCTCCCCCTCATACTGCCCCCCCCCCAGGGTTACTGGACCTCGAGGACGACGGGGACCTCATCACTGTGGAGTTTGATGACGGAGACACAGGCAGGATCCCCCTATCCCACATCCGCCTCCTGCCCCCCGACTACAAGATCCAATGTGAGTCTGAGCCTGCTGCTTCTGGGGTGCCTGTCGAGGCCCAGCCTTTGAACCCATGGAGCTGGGAATGGCAGAAGCCAGGGGAAGGGACCCTGGGCACGCCCTCCTGTTCTGTGGCCTGTGGTCCACAGTGCAGCCCCAGGCTTGTGGCTGCCACCAAGGGCTTGCTTCAGCCATTCAGCACCCAGGTCCTGCCTCCATCTTATTCAGCGTTGTCTGACAGGAACCGGGGGCTCAGGGCCCCTTGCACGTGGGGCAGGGGCAGGGGTGGGCCCAGGACTGCGCGGCATCTAGGGCTTGCTGCCCCAGTGGGGTGGGCCATGGAGACCTTCATGTTGGGTCCCTCCCCAGGCTGTGCAGGAGCCTGGCTGGGTGCCCCGTGTGTGCAGGCAGCTCAGGGCTGTGTGATCTTTCTGGGCGCCCAGTGGGTTAGCTTCACAGGGCTGCCCATTTCCCACGAGCCTGGCAAAGGTGATGCCTCCCTCCTGAGCCTCTGCTGGCTGCGCCCACAGGTGCTGAGCCGTCCCCGGCCCTCCTGGTGCCAAGCACCAAGCGCCGCAGCCGCAAAACCAGCAAAGACGCCGGGGAGGGCAAAGACGGGGCTGCGGCAGGGGCGGAGGAGCCCAGAGCCAAGGCCAGGGGCCGAGGCCGGAAGCCCAGCGCCAAGGCCAAGGGCGGTACGTGGGGCCTTTGCGCGGGAGCCATCCAGGGTTGGGGGCGTCCCGGCTCTCTGCACGGGGGCATGTCCATCTTGGCCAGCACCCTACTTATGCGGGGAGGACTGTATGGAGCACCTGGGAACCGAGGCTCTGGAGGGAAGTGTGTCTGTGGAGGGCCACTCCAGGCAAGGGCAGGGAGCAGGTGCCAGCCTCACCACACCAACCTCACCTATCCAGCCTGGCCTCACCTAATTACCTAATCAACCCAACTCTGGCCTAATCCAATCACCAACAACCTTAGCAACCTCACACCCAACAACGGAACCAACCCTATCCACCCTCCACTCCCGTCCCCTAACCTAACATCACCTGGGCACGTTTGACTCCGGAACTGAGGGGTAGACATGGAGGCTGACAGCTGAGGCCAGCAGGGCTGCTGTGGGCCCACAGGGGCTGTGGTGACTATGGTGGGGCCCCAGGCAGCTTTCCCAGCCCTGGCTGCATGCGGGAGTCTGCAGGGCCCGGAGCTAACGGCAGCCCTTGCTGGGTGGGCGTGAACTGCCAACTTACCAAGTTGTTTCTGTCTTCTAGACAAAGCTACTGCCCTGGAAGAGGGGGTCTCCACAGACGAGGTCCCCAGCAACCCCCTGGCCGTGGGGCCCATCAGCAGCCCCAGTTCCAAGAAGAGCCCCCCAGAGCCCACGGAGACGCGGCCCAAAGCCCCCAAGGGCCGCCTGTCACCCCCACAGCCCAGCCCCATGCCCCCCAGCTTTGCCGGCTGCCCAGCTCCCGAGCCATTTGGGGAGGTGCCCGCACCTCCCACGGCTGTGGCCCCTGCACCCGTGGTGGCTGTGCCCCTCACCATGCCAGCCACCCGCCCCAAGCCCAAGAAGGCACGGGCGGCCGAGGAGCCGGGCACCAAGGGCCCACGGCGGCCCGGCGATGAGGGAGAGCTGCTGATCAAACTGGACCATGAGGGTGTGACGTCGCCCAAGAGCAAGAAGGCCAAGGAGGCCCTGCTGCTCCGCGAGGACTCGGCCGCCGGCGGCTGGCAGGAGCCCAAGGGCCTCCCTGCCCTGGGCGGTTTTCCCCCGGCCGCCATTGAGCCCAAGCCTGGGTGGCCCAAGGCCCTGGACGGAGAGCCTGCCCCAGAGGCCGGGCCCGGACTGCAGTTTGAGGACTCGGGGGGCCCCGGGAGCCCGGACAAGGGCCAGGCCGAGCAGGACGCGGCCGAGGAGTCGGACAGCAGCGGCAGCAGTGGAGACAGCAGCGTCGGCGGCGGCAGCAGCAGCGGCAGCGGCGGCAGCAACAGCAATAATCACCTGGTGTCCGGCCTTTCCTAGAAACTTCTTGCATCACCACTTCTAAGAACCCCAGTTCTAAGAATCAACAGAGCTCAATTCTCGGAATTTGAGCTGCGGACTCTACCACTGCGGCTTGGCA